TAACAATGCCCAATGGTTCCTACCAGCTCTCAGCACTAATGCGTTTGGTGCCACCTGCTGGCCAAGAACTCTATTTATCTAGGACCTCCATCAGCTTCGTTAAACCTTTCTATACTAAACAGCTCAATGTAACTTGACCCTAATCCATTTGACAACCTGATTTTGAATGATGGGGGTCCTGATTCCCAGTAAAAACACATCTCAGTGTTTTGCTCTAGCTAGAAGACAGGCATGATGCCATTTTTCCTCAAGATGGTCTTGCCATGCCAAGCAATACTACCAAATTTTCATATGCAGGTGGTACAGGATCGTCCAGAGACAGAGAGTGACTATGTACCTTAGCGCATGTAAAAGGCAGCCAGTTAAAGATCCTTTATTGTGAATGTAATTGGCTTATTAACTAGCACTACAGGTATTTATTCAAAAAGGGAGACAGAATTAGCCCAGTTAATACATGCCTCAATTGGATTTTATTTTGGCTGTTTTTAATGTAATCACTATTTTCCTCGAAGCCTCTTGTTTCTGTAGTCAAGGATCAGACAAGTAATGAGATTTAGAACAAAGAAATTAACAAGCTCATGAACTTCAACAGTATAATCTCTGGTTATGGGGAAAAAAAACCAAATTGAAACCGGGCAGGCATCAACATAGTTAGCTTCAGGCACTGAGCTGAGCTTCTGTTTGTTTAATCAGCTTACTGCATAAACCATCATTGGTCTGGGTTCACACTAAGCTACAAATTATAAAGTACAGTGGCTGGATTTAGGGAACATCCTAGGCTAGGACAAAAATAAGAAACCCATTTGGGTTTAGCACAGTTTATTTATCAGGCCAGTGACTTAGTGGTTTGAGAAGAACTGAAAAGAAGCCAAACAGCAAGAGACCATACAGAAGCAAGGGATTGTAGGGTGGTAACCTAGAGTTACACATTGAGAGCACCTTCCAATAAGCTTGGACAAAATGGGCTATTGGTATTCCTCTGTTAAAACATCTGCTCATTTTTTCCTTCTGCCGTGGCTGAGTAAAATTATTTAGTCCTTAGGGTGCTTCTCTTGAAAAAAGGAAAGGGACATCTCTTTTGCAGAAAAGGAGAGCCATTCTGTCCATCTAATGCAGCTCATGAAAACTTACGCCCTTTTAATATGTTGAAAAAGCCCCTGTCAAACCCTCCCTCCCTCCCTCCCTTCTTTTGCAAATAGAAAAATCCCACACTCAGTTTCCAGCATCTCCAAGCATGGGTTGGAAAAACCAGAGGGGGCGCAAACTTTAGTTGTCAGCTGCCCAGTCATTTGGGAGATGGGTGACTTGTAAATTAAGCCATTTACATTTAAATTAAAATTCTGCCTCCCCTTCAGTCAAGAACTTTAGCCTTTGATCTGAAAATGAGTGCATAGTTTAATCTAAAAGCACCAGGCTAGAAATCAGAAAGTTGTGACTTCTAGTCCCTCCTTAGGTATGAAAGCTGGCTGGGTGACTTTGGGCTAGTCATTCTCTCTCAGCCCAGCTCACCTCACAGGTTGCTGTGGGGAAAATAGGAGGAGGAAGGAATATTAGGTACGTTTGCAGCCTTGAATTATTTATAAAAGATAACAAAAGTGGGGTAAAAGTCAATCGTTCAAGCAATCATTCATTCCAATCTCAAACATGAACCAGCAGTCAGCATCAGTACATAGCAACTTCCTAATTTCCGAGCATTCCTAGTAGGAGGTAGCTTCCTATGTTGTAGCCTCTGCCTCCTGACAGGAGAACTGCACCCCCATGTGGAATATTTAGGAAACATTTAAAGACATGGCTGTTTCAAAGACATGCATTGGGAACTGAGGAAAGAATGGGGGTGTATGTGAGCTTGAGATGAATCTAGCAGTGGTGGGTTGCTCCCGGGTCTGTCTGGTTCTTTAGAACCGGTAGTAAAAGTGGCGGGAGGCTCCGCCCACCCGCCTGAACATCATAACTGATGATCTGCGCATGTGCAGAAGCTTCTGTGCATGTGCGCGCTCCCGTTGCAAACCGGTAGTAAAGGTAAGTAGAACCCACCCCTGGAATCTAGGTTTTTTTTTTTTATGTTACAAGGCATCATGTTCTCTTATATTATTATAAGTTTAAAGCACCCCTTTAAACTTATTTAAAGCGATTGTAATTTTGAACAGTTGTTAAACAACTGGTTGTTAAGCAAGGACTACCTTAGTTTCCACTTTAGCATTCTAACCCCAGTGCTGGGTTGGCTCTTGATTCACATGTATATCCTCACTTAAGCTGCTCTTCAAATCAAAAGGATCGGCCTTTAGCGTATTCCAGCCCATAGTTTCAGAAAGCTGCCCCCCCTCCCCATTTAGAAGGTTGAACTGGGGTCCTTTTGAACAAACTAGAAGCTTTACTATTGAGCATCATAATTCTTCAAATCCGTATTCTATGGGTCCAAGTCTATCAACTGAATACTTTTGATCCTTGAAAAAATGCACAGGTTTATAGATACACTGTCTTACTTTTCCACACTAGGGCAGTTTCTACACTAGGGTAGTGATAATTGCCAGGGGCCAGAAAGCAGGAAATCCAAAAATTATTTGGATCTTACTGCAGTGAGATAGAAGGATAGAAGAATGGTTGGTAAAGATGATAGACCCTGCTGGGATGGCTAAATTGAATTCTTTGAGTGGAGAAAACAAAAACTATGTTTATTGCTGACTAGAAATGCCTTATGGATTTTTGCACAAAATTTTTAAAAAAGTGAATTTATGGTTTACGATTTTGAATCATATATTGTTAACAGTAAGAGGTAAATTTTAACTGTTCTTCTACCTGCTGTAAAGTGAAGGCATCCTAAGTCTGCACTACTATTAATCTTCTCATCGTTCCCACCACCCATCTCCTTCCACTTATGACAGTATGACTGTAACTTTGTTGCTTGTATCCTTACGATTTATATTGATATTGTTTCCTGATTGCTTATTTGTACCCTATGATTGTCATTAAGTGTTGTACCTTATGATTCTTGATGAACATATCTTTTCTTGTATGTACACTGAGAGCATATGCACCAAGACAAATCCACTTGGCCAATAAAAAATTATATTCTCTTCTCTTCTATTTTCCTCGCTTTTCTATTTTTTTTTCTTGCACTTTTAGCTTTTCCTTTGAGTTCTTTTCTTTTCTTTCTCTACTTTATATTAGTTTGCATTGGTTTAATCTTTAACACAACTACATAATCCCCCACCCCCCCACACAAAAATACATCTTTGGATCTTTGCTTGGTGTTCAGCCATCATTACTGCAAACTTGTATAGTATGGCCTGCACACAAGAACGCTTTAGAGGTGGGATCCTTTTCCAGCCTCTTTTCTGAAGGAATGTTACAAGCGCAAAGGGTGGGGGTGGGGGGAATCAACCGAGAAACCATCACTGGAAGCCTCTGCATATTTTGCCAATGTAGGAACAGAGAGGCAGCTTCACTACTGCATTGGTCAGAGGATAGCCGAAGTTCCCTGAAGGTGGCCAGTTGCCAAACTAAGCTGCGATGCTGCTTGTTTCCTAATCAGAGTTGAACAAACAAAGTGCTGATTGAGTCTAATGGTCCCTTTAATCTGCAGGCTGGGCGCTGACACTAGATTACAGTGTTTATAATTTACAGCTAATCATTCGTGTGGAAAAAGAAAAATGAAAACACTTCCAACTAGGCCAGTCAAAAACATCCCCATTAACAGGCCTGATTAGCGATTGTTTCTACACAGGGAGCCAAAGGCAAAGGGGGAGAGTGGCAGGCAGGGCCGGCTCCTTCCATTCTCTAATAGCAGCTGAGATTCCAGTTCCTCAATAAAGCATGAACTCAACGGCAGTGCCAGAAGTTACAGGTTTTTCCTTCAAATTAAAGAGGTGGACAACCTGCAGTCCCCCAAAGACTCTAGCTCTGGGCAATCCCTCTCTCCGTTGGCTTGGCGCTGATGGAGGAATGGAGATGGCCCACTGCCATTTTAAAAGAACCAACGGCCCTCTGTGAACCCTGCCAGTTTTAATTTATTCAGCAAATCACAGCTGAGCAAATTATGCCCAACCCCATGTATGAACTGTGTCCTAAGACTGTTTCTAGGCCACACAATTAGGATCTGTTCGCAGGATCTCTGAGCAGATTAAGAGTTACTGGAGAGCTGTGAAAAGCTGGTAGTTATTCCACTCGTATATGTACAATTTCTAGCTTGGGCCACAGCACGGCGAAGACAACTCAACAAATGTTTGCAAGACTGTGCAGGAAGCTGAATCCAGCATGAAGTAACAAACAGAGATGACCATCTTGTGAGATTTCAGCCACCGCTGATCAGATGGCCGGCTGATACAGAAAACTGAGTAAACAGCTTCCTCCATTTATGGCAACACTTTGGCATGAAGGAGAGGGATAACTAAAATTCTAAATAGTCAAACACAATCTCCATGTTAAGAGGGAACAGATCTCTGAATACCAGAGAGACCCAATTGATGAGGGCCAGCAATGCCAGAGCATTACTGACCCAGGGTCTGCATTACAGACTGCTAAAATGGCTGGACTCAATGGACATTTAGCCTGATCCAAAAAGGTAGCTAGCATAAGGCTCCCTGACAAAATGGCTGACCTGGTAGGTGTGGCCAGTCACAAAGCAAGAGAAATCAGTCTGACGGCTCTCTGTAACTCCCAGTAATGCTTTCCATTTTACCCTTTTCTGAACAGGTGGGCACACTGCCAGAAGCCATTAAATGTTGCAGATGAAGATGCTGTTTCAGATATTTAAAATAGTTCTGTGACTAGCAGGAAAAAAACCCGCCTGATTGTGTCTGGATCAGAGAGGATTGATTTCTGCAAAGCTTCCATCCATTTTTGTAGAGCTCTCCTTTTGAACTTAGAATCTTGTCTCACTTGCAATATACAATTTGTATAAACATCCTGTGGCAAGAATAAGGGGATAGCACTTTCCCTGAACCATGAGGCAAGGCCCTAGATTACCACATCTTAATTTATTTCCATTCGGCTTTCCTTACCATTCACAATGGTTCTTCGGGCTACCTCCCACAGGACCAGACCATAAGCCCAGATGTCTGTCCGCTTGAAGGATTCAAAACAGTCCATACGAATCTGTTCATCCAAAACTTCAGGTGCCATATAGCGTTTGGTGCCCACCCGTGGATTGTTCCCAATATCCAAGTAATCATTGCTCTGGGAATGCATGACTGCCAATCCTGAAAAAGAGGAACAACAGCACCATTATGGTTGTCCTATATATATATATACATATATATATATATATTTGCAACAAGCAGGCAATCCTACACCAGGAGGCTAAACATTGAAAAGGTCAGATTTAACCGGGGGAAAAAAGCATTACCCTGAATTTAGGAGAATAACATAACTTTTGTGGTTTGTTTAACATTACAGAGAGAGCATGAGAATGCACTTTGGTTTAATGGGACGAAGGTATATGCATGTGTCTTTGTCTATGGCATATGAGTTCACGTGCACCACAACTCCTGTCCATTCTTTTCCTTTATTTGTACTTGGCTTTCTATGATGTAAGGATCATGCTTCTTTTTTTGGAGCTGAGAGATGCCATTGTTTTTCACTCTATAAACTCTGTTCTACTGAGAAACTAATTAGGAATAAGGCTGACTGGGCTAATTAATAATCAAGCCACCAGACTTGAAATTCTGGGTTTGGAAAATTTAGAACTATGCCGCCTTCGCTTTGACCTAAGCTTAGCTCACAAAACCATCTGCTACAATGTCCTACCTGTCAATGACTACTTCAGCTTCAACCACAACAATACACGAGCACACAATAGATACAAACTTAAAGTGAACCGCTCCAAACTCGATTGCAGAAAATATGATTTCATTAACAGAGTGGTCAATGTCTGGAATGCACTTTGTGCATTTTGGGATGAGACTCTGTGGTCTCATCCCCAAAACCCCCAAAACTTTAACCTAAGGCTGTCGACTGTTGACCTCACCCCATTCCTAAGAGGTCTGTAAGGGGTGTGCATAAGAGCACCAGCGTGCCTACCGTCCCTGTCCTAATGTTTCTGTTAATTGTATTCATTTTATGTATTCAATTCACGCTTATATACTTATATATATTATCTAATTTGTACTCAACAAAATAAATAAAATAAAAATAAATAAAAAGTCTCTTTGGAATGTCCAAATCAGGGATTCCTAAACTTTTTGCCATCACACCTCTCTTTAGTGTAACATTAATGTACACATCTACCCTAAAAATCCAGATATCAAAATGAATACAAATGAATAATGAAAGCAATACAATGAAATTTTGAGAAAGGTGAATTTATTTTAACAATATATCTAAAACAGCGTTCCCCAACTTTCTGGCTCCACAGGCCGGCGGTGGCTGAAGTAGTGGGGGGGAGGAGATGGTTTCACGTGCACACACACTGCTAGTGCAAATGGAGCTTCCTGTGCTCGCCTGCCACTTGTGTGGCCCAGTTGCCATCGGACCATGGACTAATAGTGGTCCACAGACTGGGGGATTGGGGACCCCTGATCTAAAATGTTCTTCACCTCTCCCTGGACTCTGTGTGCACTTCCCCGAGAGAGGAACACTGCACAATTTGGGAAATCCTGGTCTAAACAGAAAGCTTAACTTGCATCCCTGGGATTTGGTAAAAGCTAATATCTGAAGCCAGGAAACTCTTGTCTCCCTAGTGTGAATGGCTGATAATCATAGGTTATTTATCCTTTCCTATAAAACATATGGCTTGATCTGTTTATATGAGTTATCTGAAGTTATTGCAATGTAAACATATCTGGGAACAGATCTATTTGTTTACTCATACAAAGGTCAAACTAATCACCACTAAAGCAATCAGGAAATTGCCTTTTTGGAAAAAACTGTGGATGTCAGATATGAACTTGTGAAAAGGAGTGGTTATTTCAGAAATTATTCCATTCCATTCCATTCCATTCCATTCCATTCCATTCCATTCCATTCCATTCCAACAGGTCCTGGACTCACAAAACATATTAAAATAAAAAGACTAAAATATAATAAAATAAGAACATGTATGAAAAGAGAAGAGTAGAACAAGATAAGAACAATGTAGCATCTAATTCTTTACATCATACAACCAATATAATTAAACCAGATAAAGATTACAGTAAACAGGAAGTAGTTAAATTCTAAGCCCTCTACTAGGAGCCTAATCAGGACTGTACCTTCCATTCCTACCTGTGTGACATTTTGTTCCTATATTTGTAGCAGAGGTGGATCATACAGCCAGGGTGGGAAGTACATTATTAGGCCAGGCTCCCCCAACCTTCCAGATATATCAATTTTAATTCCAAAATTCTCAGTAGGAATTCTGTGAACTGAAACCCACACCTCTGGAGGGTGACCAGATTGTAGAAGGTTATTAGGCTAATGACTTAGACGTTCTAAGGGGCAAATATAAGAACTCAGATTACTTCCCCTAGAAAGCTCTTCTGAAAAGAGTACCTTTAAGAAACAGGTACACATCAGCACCTCTGCTTTGCCAAAAACATTTGCTCTAAAATCCACTCACCTAAATCAGCAATGCAGCACTGCTTATTGTTCTTGACCAAGATATTCCTGCTTTTCAGATCCCGATGAGCAATGGCTGGCTTGCCCTGGGTGCCAAAGATCTCGACATGCAGGTGAACGAGCCCACAGATGATCGAGGTGGCCAGACGCAAGCAGGTCTCCACGTCCAACACTGTGCATTGCAAGTAATCATAGAGGGAGCCATGCTCATGGTAGTGGGTGATTAGCCAGAGCTGAGTACTTGAATTCCGTGATGTCATGTCTGACGCAATGAATCCTGTGGGCAGGGAAGGAGGGTAAAGCTCAGTGTACATTGCCAAAGCAGCCAAAGAAGCTATCAAAGTATCTATAGATTATGTTATGTTATGTGTATGGATAAATGAGAATTTTTAAATCTCTGAGCTTTTTCAGCTCTTTAAAAACCTTGTGCAAATTTAGGAAGTGTACTTAGCTTCATGGGTCTTAAAATGTGCTTCCTCCGTTTGCTTGCCTAAGACTTCTTGGGACTGATACAGCTGCTGGATTTCTGCACTGTTTCCACTCACCTAAGATGTTGTCATGCCTTAGCAGCACCGTGTTGTAAATCTCAGTCTCACGGAACCATGACTGCTCATCACGGGAAGAGAAAATCTTGACCGCCACGTTCTCCCCATGCCAAGTACCACGCCACACTTCCCCATAGCGTCCTTTGCCTATTGTGGGGGAGAGGAACATAATTTTCAAACCCTTTCACTTGCCTTCACGAATGACTTCTTGCCTGAACTGACTGATATTTCACATTCATATGAGATGTAATCCTAGCATTTAAATGTCTAACATACCTGCCTCATTTTTTATTTTTATTTTTTTGGCCAGAGCAGCTGCAGGAATTGACAACAGTGAAAAATCATTTGATCAATTTAATCACAAATAGTTATTGATGAATAATTGGCTCTTATAGCCTATTATCCAAAACTGCTATGGATAAATATACAACCCACTCAGAATCTAAATATTACTTTTAAATGCTTGAGAACAAAACGTTCAGAGGATGATTGCTAGCAGAACTCAAAGTCAAATATTCCAAAACATTTTGCTAGTGGCAAACTGGCAATAAGAGATACTTCCATGGAAAAATTAACAGATGACAAACAGCTTTTTCCTTGCCTAATGTTTATCCATTAAGTTAAGAATTTTCTTCTCAGTATCTCAGAGTTAAGGCAGATCAGCCCAAGTGCAAGCTTGATCTCCATTTTAGGTTGGCTTGCAGATAACAGAAAGAAACATGTTTAATGAAATGGCTCAGAACTGAATGATAAACATTAACATGTTTAGGTGGAGCATCTGTTAATGGACCTGAATACTTCAGGCAGCAGGAAGACTATCCAGGGTTTGAATTTGTCCATGCGCAAATAATCCTTGCACATAAAAGAAGACAGGCTATTACTTTGCTCGACTACAGAATCTGTTTTGCACCTCTCATGATGTGTTCTATATTCAGCAAGTGAGCTAATAAATTTCTGTTTTATAGTGGGATAATCCTGTCTGGAAGAAAAATGATATTTCTGTTTACGGGGGAAATTGGCCTGCTTCAAGGCTGTCTGTCTTCTCCCTCATGCCAGCAACCTTCAGGGCAACCTACAACCAAGATTAGAAGCTTTGGGAAAAGCAAATTAATTTCTGGTTACGAAATTAATATAGTGATGTCACGCCACCTTCACAGCTCTAGGTGAGACTTCTGAGGAGGAATCCTCAGAGATGAGGAGGTAGCCGAGCAGATTCACCCCATTACAAATATATTATTACTGTGGCTGGTTACGCAGCTGGCCAGATGCTTAGACTGGATTTGACATTTTTATTTGCCTATGAAGTTCTCCCAATGACCTGGGATAGGCAGATGTTGTTGTTTAATAATATTAAAGGTTTTGTTGCATGATTTTGTAAGCTGTTCCAGGTAAAGCAGCCTTTTGCAACTGGCTGAAAATGATTTTGTCAGTGCCAATGGTGGTGGTGGTGGTATTATTATTATTATTATTATTATTATTATTATTATTATTATTATTATTATTCAGAATTATACAACATGCACTAAAATGTGGTTGGGAGGGTACTAACAATATTGAATTTTTCTTTTTTTGCAAATTGAGGGTGGGGTCTCTCAGAGATCAAGAGCTGTGGTGATGCAGTGGTTAGAATGCACTACTGCAGACTAACTCACTGCTCACTTCAGGAGTTCGATTCTGAGCGGCTCAAGGTTGACTCAGCCTTCCATACTTCTGAGGTTGGTAAAATGGGGACCCAAATTGTTGGAGGCAACATGCTGACTCTGTATACCACTTAGAGAGGGCTGTAAAGCACTGTGAAGCAGTATATAAGTCTTAAGTGCTGTTGCTATTGCTTCAGAATCTACAGTCTGTAGGCTCAAAACACTTTATAGGGATTGTGCCTAGAAAGGGTGCTGTGTGGAAGTGTTCTGAAAGGGCAAGCCAGACCCAGATATGCCTCATGAATAAAGTGATGGCTCAAATCTGTATATTTTATTAGAGAATTGGAATGTATATTCTTGTTTCCAACCAGTTCAGCAGTTCTCTGCTGGTGACAATTCAGATGTTTCTTTCTCTCCTTGGCTTACCAACGCATTCAACCAAGGTGATCTGCCGAGCCACAGTTCTTTGGACTAGAAAGGGCAGCCCAGAGCCACTTCCAGTAGTGCAGTCATCATTCAGCAAGACCTGAATACAAATCAAACATGTGAAGAATCTTAGAGGAATTGATGGAGAGGTATATTTTGGTGAGTGTAATAAGCATGCCAAGCCTGCTTCTGGAATTTCCAACTCCTTAGTAAATTGCACTCTGCACTACATGCCCACGAAGGAAGGAGGGATTGGCAGCATTATGTGACAATTGCTTCCATCACAGGAATGCAGTGGGAACTTTTTTTCTGCAACTGTTAAATTAGTGACATAGTTGTTAAGTGAATCTGGCTTCCCCATTGACTTTGCTTGTCAAAAGGTTGCAAAAGGGGATGACATGACCCAGGATACTGCAACTGTCATAAATATGAACCAGTTGCCAAGGGTATGAATTTTGATCATATGACCTTGGGGATGCTTACAATGGTCGTAAGTGTGAAAAACGGTCATAAATCACTTTATTCAATGCCGTTGTAACTTTGAACGGTTACTAAATGAACTGTTGTACCTGTAATTCCTTTCCAATATTCAGTTGGGTTGGAAAGAATAAAAATATCAAGATCTAACACCAGGCAGAAATTATTCTAATGCACTTTTGTCATTTTGGTTTAGCTTGATTTAGCTTCTCTGGTTTCCCATCTCAGAAACTTCTCCTCCATAGTTCATACCGAAGTTACTTTGAAAGAAACTTTAGTGGATCTCTAGGATCCTTCCAATGGGAGAAGGCAGAAGCGCTAACAATAGCAGGGAACATGTAATTACAGCCAAATATATTCATTCCGAAGGAGGGGCAATCAACAAAGTAAAGAAAGGTGAACAATTTAGAGTGGAAAATATTCAACAGCAATAAGATAAAAAAAAGCCAAAGGCAACCAATATAAGTGCAGGTCATGGTATTTGAACCTAACTTGTCACCATTAAAACAATGTTGGCTTAGAGCAGGGGTCTGCAACCTTAAACACTCAAAGAGCCATTTGAACCCGTTTACCACAGAAAAGAAAACACCAGGAGCCACAAAACTCTTCCCGTGCCTGAATATTTCTTGAGTGGCCACAAAACTAGCATATGTAATTGAATTAAACATTCTGTTTTCTTCTGAAACTTTTCTTTTCTTGGATTTATCCATGGTTGGCCTACCGGCGTGCCAGTGGTTGTCGCACATTGGTGGTTGTGATGCATATTTTGAGTGACAGGGAGCCACAGCAGAGGGGTGAAAGAGCCACATGCGGCTCCAGAGCCGCAGGTTGCTGACCCCTGGCTTAGAGTAAAGTGAGCAACTAACCACAGTGGCATTGAATGCCGTTCCTAATGCAGACTTACTTCTAAAGTGCTGTCCCCAGCCAGAGAGTTCTTCAGCATAAAATCCACGTCGCCTTCATTAGACCCAAATGGCATATGTCTCCGCCGGCTTTGGGCCCACTTCCAGACAAAGAGACCAATTAATATAATGAGAATTAAAATAGCAAACAACGGAACCAGGATCATCAGGAGAAGGTTCTTCAAAGATGGGCCCTCTTCAGGCAGACCTTCATCTGATTGGAAGAAGAATCCATTTAGTTACTATGGCTTTTCTTTTCTTTTTTTATAAAACTTTATTAAATTTCAAAAAAATATACAAAATATACAAAAATGTACAAATAATAATAATAATAATAATAATAATAATAATAATAATAATAATAAAGAAATTAAAGGGAAAAGAAGGAAAGGACAGGGAAAAAGCAAAATTGGAGAATGCTGACAAGAAAGAAAAAAAAAAGCTGCAGAAAAAAGTAATTCCTGACTTTTTTTCGGTGCAATGCAAATGTAAAATACAATGACCCTTTGAGTTAGAATCAGCCATAATACTTGGTACTTCTATAGCCATAAACAAATCCAATAATCAAATCCCAGAGTTAAAGTTGGTTACTACTGCTTTTCTGATGGCAATGGGTCAGTGGTGAAATCCAAACTTTTTTACTACCGGTTCTGTTGGCGTGGCTTGGTGGGCGTGGTGTGGCTTGGTGGGCGTGGCAGGGGAAGGATACTGCAAAATCCCCATTCCCTCCCCACCCCTTGGGGAAGGATATTGCAATATCTATATTCCCATCCCACTCTGGGGCCAGCCAGAGGTGGTATTTGCCGGTTCTCTGAACTACTCAAAATTTCAGCTACCGGTTCTTGGAACTACTCAAAATTTCCACTACCGGTTCTCCAGAACCTGTCAGAACCTGCTGGATTTCACCCCTGCAATGGGTCCTATATAGATTAACCATGTATGGCTTCCCAGTTATTCTAAACAAATGGAAATATCTCTCTGGAAAGAGTCATCAGAATGTCTTCACTCTATAACTCAGAAAGCCATATAGTCTTTGGATTTTCATTTCCTCTGACGATATAATTAACAAGAAATAACATTAATATGGTGTTTAGAGATAATTAAAATGATGCACAATTAAGGGAACTAGGTATGTCTAGTCTAACAAAGAGAAGGCGACATGTTAGTTGTCTTCCAGTACTTGAAGGGCTGCCAGAGAGAAGAGGAATGAGGACAACTTATTCTCCAAAGCAGTTGAGTGTAGGACAAGAAACATTGAATGGAAGCTGGTTAAAGAGAGATCCAACCTAAAACTAAGGAGAAATTTCCTGACAGTGAGAACAAGTAATCAATGGAAGTGCTTGCCTCCTGGAGTTGTAGATGCTCCATCACTGGAGGTTTTCAAGAAAATATTGGACAGCCATTTGTCTGGGCTGGTGTAAAGTGTCCTGCCTTGGGCAGGGACTAGAAGACCTCCGAGGTGCCTTCCAGTCCTATGATTCTAAAAAGCGGGAAAGCTTAGCACCTAAAGCAACCTCTTAACCTTATTGGAAACCTAACTTCTGCACAAAACCAAAACCATCAAGGGTGAGTAGCAATCCAATTTTAAAAAGAAAGCAGAATTATAACATTAAATAGGGTCGATTAGCAGCTAATCCATTCACAAAATGTATGGCACCTCATTTTGTCCAAGAATGGAAAGATTACAACTGCTGGCTGCGTGTCTGTGTGCATGTGTGTATAATACTACAACCTATTGTGTATATTATTATAGGGGGAAAGTCAAAATACACACAATCTTGTTCCCGTCTAGGGGAGAATAGTCTTTATAGAAGGAAATTTAAAAAAAAATACCTATTAGCCAGATGGAAAGATTGAAATTACACATGTTGCCCTGGCAGCATTTTATGCCGTAGGTTTTTGTGATAGAGCCCCAGCAAAATTCATTTGCTTCCTTCAGGCAGCCTTTCTTATCGATCGTTTTCCCATTCTCCAAGTGTTTGCTTACAAAACACCAATCTCCTGAGCATGTGAAATTTTCTGAACATACCGATTGCATACAAACGCAGTTCGGCTGACCTGTAACACAAAAGAAAATATAATTCACAGATATGAATGGATATCATATTATTTGTTCACATGCCTTCTAAATCAACTGATACAACAGCTGTATGGTATTTAGTGGCTGGAGTCACACAATTAGGATTTGTTTGGTTTTAGTTAAAAATATTGGGTGAACCCCCCCTTTTTTTTTAAAGATTTGGATCCCACCTTTTACAATTTAAGGCGATGAACACACCAATATCTCATTCTATTTTTCCCACAACAGGAACCCAAGTGAAGTGAGTTAGACTGGCCCAAGATCACCCAGCCAGTTTTTCCTACCTAGATCTCACAGCCTTCTTGTTTTTAGGCCTAAACCTTAATTGCTACACCGAATTTTCTTCTTTATTAATAACTTAATTTTATAATTTATTTTAATGAACCATAATTTAGTAAATTATGATTAAACAGACATGGTTTAGCCAATGGTGGGATTCAAATAATTTAACAACCGATTCTCTGACCTAATGACTGGCTGGGTGGGCTGGGTGGTCATGTGACTGGGTGGGTGTGGCCAACTTGATTGCTCTCACCCTTAGGAAATTTCTCCTTAGTCCACTCACAATAAAATAGCACTGTTCCAATATTTAGAATAGAATAACAGAGTTAGAAAGGACCATGGAGGTCTTCTAGTCCAACCCCCTGCTTAGGCAAGAAACCCTATCCCACCTCAGACAAAAGGTTATCCAATCCACCAGGTTATCCAATCCACCAGGAGTTACTGGTGGCTCAGCAGACTGATAGCATTGTGATTAACACCAGCTGCCTGCAATTATTGCAGGTTCGAATCTCACCAGGCTCAAGATTGACTCAGCCTTCCATCCTTTCTAAGGTAGGTAAATTGAGGACCCAGTTTGTGGGGGCAATAAGCTGACTTTGTATAAATATACAAAAGTATGAAGGCTATTGCTTAGTGCATTGTAAGCCGCCCTGAGTCTCCGAAGAAGGGCGGCATATAAATCAAATTAAAAAAAAAATCTTCTTTAATACTTCCAGAGTTGGAGCAACAATCTGGGTCCTCATTTTACCAGCCTCGGAAAACTGGAAGGCCGAGACAACCTTGAACTGGTCAGAATCAAACTGCTGGCAGTGAGCAGTATATGTCTATGCACAGAAATGCATCTAAGAGGATATGTGTCTGTATCCATGTGCGCACTCATGTAAGTACACTGGATGTCTCCTGAAGTTCTGCTTTGACATCTGTGGTGCCAGAAAGGTTGCCTACTTGATCCAACCAATATTTAACATTAAATGCTTTCATAAGCAGTAACGATAGAGGAGACAAGAAGCAAGCTTTGGTTGGATCCATGGATGGGAGCTCTCTAGGTACCTGACAATATTACCTTGAGCATCCCAGAAAAAAGGTAAAGCACAATACAAGAATAGAGGCAAAAACCAATGGGGAATATCCACCACTTGAATCACTACTTCAAAGTGTTCTGCAGAACTTGTCACTGGAATTCCCGCCTGGTCTTCATTCCTAAGAAAGGCTGGCACAAAGAATCAGTCCCTGTACTTGGGACATAATTACCATTATGTGAAAGGCCTTTCACATAATGGTAATTTCAGATTTTTTTTAAAAAAACATGTTTTTTCCCTCTTGTGAAGACCAATTACACCCATGCTGTCTGGATCCAAATTGCAGGAGTGAATAAGAAGCAGAGTAACAGTTCAAACTCTCTCTCACTCTGTCCCCAGATCCTCTGCTTGGGTTTTGTTGCTCAAATTGTTATCAGAAAGAAGCTGGTGGAGAATTGTTCCCAGCTGACATGCATTGCTGCTTTTCCACCAAACTATTGATAAGGAAGAGGAGAAAACAGTGACGGTTCTAATCTAATCCGTCTGCCCTGCCCATTATTCTTAGTAAGCCTTCTACTGGCATCTAATGAAGTGTTCTGGTGTAACCATCAAAAGCATACAAAAATCAGTCCCAAGTCACTTCCACAAAAGTGGCTTCCAGCATGTTCCTATGATCAACCCAACTATTGCTGAAGTACTGTAAAGCCAACATTGTTATTGTTATTTTGTACAATGACGGTTGGACAACTCTGGAAAATACTATCAATCACTAGCATTAAAAGTGAGGTATTCAGTACTGGGAGAATAAAACAACAGGGCCATTGTTTCTCATTTTGGTAGATGCTAGCTTGGCCCAGATGATAAAACTGTAAGATCTGTGTCCGTTTCTCCACTCCCCCCCCCATTTCTTCAGACACAAAATACATTTTAACATTGGTTTCTTCAAAGACCCTTCTGGAAGTTTTATTTCCCTTGAAGCACATAAGGCATCTCATTAAGAAAGAGCCACATTTAGCTTCTGCGTGTCAATGTTTAAGCTTTTCATAGTGATCCCCCAGCTTTCTCAGCTGTATGCTGGGACAGTGTGATACTGTAAGTTGAATTCTTTCCCTTCTTTCCCTTTTTATCTTCTGAAACTGGGCATAATTATCCACAAATTAATCAGTGCTCTCTAATGCTAGAGTTAGACAGCCACATCTACGTGTATGGCATTTCACAAAACTACAAAGCTGTATGTTCCAAACGTCAACCCTGCGGAAAACAGCAGAGGAAACGGGACACTATGCCAAGGAAGGAGTAAACAAGGAAACACTGCACAGAGAGATTCTTTTGTGGAAAGGAAAATCACAGAAGTGGTGAAAATGAAGATTATAATGTTAGGAATGCTCATAAAAGTATGTGAATATGGCTCACTGGAAGTCACCAATTAAGTTGCCGTTAAAGTCCTGGGAAGAGATTCCATCAATTTCGGTGAAAAAGTTGAGATTTTTTTTTGAGAGATCTGATAAAACCAAGATAGTTGTGCTTGCAAGGTGTTACACGTGTACTGGGCAGAAAGGAAGAAGGGGTAGGAGTTTTTGAAGGAATAGATGTCCGCCCTATAAAGTAGACCACATTAAGAAACAAATGCCATCTGTATTTGTGGTGTTCTGATAAATATTTTAATTAGAACAGTCATAGTAACAGAATTTTGTAAGTATGAATGTGCTTCCCACATTTTATCTTCATGTGAATTAGGGAAGGGCTTGTCTGAGGCATTTTCTTAATTTTTTTTCTTGGAATGTGCTCAAAACAGGCTTGTCTGATTTTTGCCTTGATAACAGATCTTCCCACTGTCCTTCAAGGCCACTCTCTATTCCCTCTACAACAGGAGACCTTCAGACAATAAGAATTCACATATGACACTAACCTTAATGTGGTTTGCTTGGTTTTGGTTTAAAAGGATTTATGAATCAAGCCACTGTGGTTTGTAAGCCATAGTCTTAATACAATGAATAAAGCTGTTTCAATAAAATATACTGAAGCAAATGAAGAGTTATCACATAAAATGAACAAAATTTGTGAATGACAATGGAGCTCGACATCAATATTTTTCTCTAAACTTCGTAATTCATCTAAACAACACAATTCCAGAGAAGCCTCTCTATTCTTCAAATATTTCTTACCAGCTGTGAGTGAGATGTTTCCTGCAAGACACAGAATTATTGAAAAAAGGCCAGCGATAGCTTCTTGAGAAAGCATTTTCTCTGCAGAATGAAAAAAACAAAATGAATTACTAATAAGCACTTTTCAAACACACACTGTAATAAAACTTGTCCTATTAAAATATGTCTTGTGCCTATTTCTACACACATATCCTTTTTTTTAAACGAAGGATAAATGTATAGAGTAGGGTCATCCATCTGAGGGAAAGAAAGAAAAAACATCAAATAAAATAAGAGGGAAAAGATACCGTAGAGCTGGGAACTCTGCCAAGGAAACAAATGAACTGGGAAGACACAGTTGCTGAAATCATCTTAGGATAATTATCTCTATGGAAATGTTCATGGTCAGTCTTTATCCTGACCATTGGGCTATTCAAATTAAGAGTGAATTTGTATCCCTCTCCTATCTTTGTGTATCGCAACAGCCACAGCAACAGCAATAGCATTTCGATTTCTATTGAATCAGAATAGAGTTGGAAGGGATCTTGGAGGTATTCTAGTCCAACCCCCTGTTCAAGCAGGAAACCTTACACCTGTGATAGCGAACCTATGGCACACATGCCAGAGGTGGCACGCACAGCCCTCTCTATGGGCACATGTGATGTTGCCACCTGGTCTTCTGTTTTCCGGCACGCATGTGTGCTGGCCAGCTGGTCTTTGCGGGCCTGAAAACAGCCAAAAAGCAGGCCTTTTGGGGGCCATTTTTGTCCATTTTTCAAGCCAAAAATGGCCCGAAAAACAGCCTGAAAATGGCCTGAAAAACAGCCTGAAAAATGGGCTGAAAACGCCCCAAAACATGCCCAAAAAACAGGCATGCAAGTGCCATCCAGCTGGTCTTTGGGTTCTGGTGCTCCAGCGTGTGTGAAAGCCAGCTGTCTGGCATGCATGCGCATGCCAGAAACTTGAAAACCAGCTGGATGGCGCATGCATGCACACCGGCTAGCTGGTTTTTGGGTTTCCGGCACTCCGGTGCACGCACATGCACACACATGTGCGCACCAGTGGTGGGTTGCCCCTGGTTCGCACCGGTTCTATAGAACCCGTAGTAAAACTGGCAGGAGGCTCCACCCACCGACCCTGATGTCATCAAAACGCTTCTGCACGAGCGAAGCGAATGCGTGCATGCATACGGTCCTGCTGAAAACCAGTAGTAAAAGTAAATAGAACCCACCCCTGGCGTGCACATTCCAGTTTGGGCACTCGGTGCCGAAAAGGTTCACCATCACTGCCCTATATCATCTCAGACAGGTGGATGTCCAGTCTTAAAAACCTGCAGTGATGAAGCACCCACAACTTCTGATGACAAACTGTTTCACTGGTTAATTGTCCTCCTGTTAGGAAGTTTCTCCTTAATTCCAGGTTGCTTTTCTCTTTGATTAGTTTCCATCCTTTGTTTCTTGTCTTGCCTTCTGGTGCTTTCAAAAATAAGTTGTCCCTCTCTTTTTTTGTGGCATCCCCTCAAATACTGGAATATTGCTATCATGTCACCCCTAGTCCTTCTTTTCTCTAGGCTGTACAGATGTAATTCCTGCAACTGTTATGCATATTTTTGTCTCCAGGCCCTTAATCATCCTAGTTGCTCTTCTTTGCACTTTTTCCAAAGTCTCAACATCTTTTTTGTAGTGTGGTGACCAAAACTGGATGCAGTATTCCAGGTGTGGTCTTACTAAGGATTTATAAAGCAATATTAATACTTCACGTGATTTTGATTCTATGCCTCTGTTTATACAAGGAAGGATTGTATCAGCTTTTTTGGCTGCTGCCACACACTGCTGGCTCATGTTTAAGTGATTGTCCACTAGGGCTCCAAGGTCCCTCTTACAGTTACTGTTTTTGAGCCAGGTTTCGCCTTGTACCTTTGGTTTTTCCTGCCTAAGTGTAAAATCTTGCTTTTTTCCACATTAAATTTCATGTTGTTGGATAGGGTCCATTGTTCATGTCTGTCAAGATTTTTTTGAATCCTGAGTTTTTCTTCTGGGGTGTTAGCTATTCCTGCCAGCTTAGTGTCATCTGCAAATAAATGCACTAGAAGGCTGTCAATAATCTTAATAACCCTTAATAATACGACACGAAAGAGGTAATGTGCAGGGCCCCATTGCACATCCAGTTCATTTGTGAACTTAAAGTTTTTATATTTCTGTTCTCAACTCTTCCTGCCCATCCAGAAGACAAAAAGCTATTTAGGGGTAGACTCTGGCCTCAAAAGATCCTGGGTTTCCCTACACTACTGTGATGGTGATGGATTTTTTTTTTTTGCTGCATTTCTGGCTTTTTTCCAGCTTTGCTCTTGTATCTTCATGAACTGAGGTCAACTGTTGATTTGAGAGAGACTTGGGGGTTTTGCAGCAACCTCATCAAGGATATAAAAATACTCTTTGCGAGAATCCAAAAATGTTCCAGCTGTTCCACTGAGAAGATAGGAGCAAAATGGATTCCCCCCCCCCTTCTGAGGGCAGGGGGTTACTTATTTGTTCACTTCCTTGTGAAAGAAAAACTCCTGCCAAACTAAATCTAGCAGAGTCGTGACCCAGCCCAATCTGCTTCCAACTCGTGCAACCTTCCTCTTTGTAAATGCAGAAAAAATGCGGGTCCTGAAAGTCCAGGACTCATTTTGTTCTGTTTCACCCACAGATTCCTAACACAACAAACAAACTATGTCTCGGTTTCCTGCCATTCAAAAATTCCAGCCTGTGGTCTGGGCGTTGCAGGCTGGACAGGAATCAAGATTGTTTAGATTCTGCTGTTGATGGGGGAGAAACGGAGACATACACAGAGAGATCTATAAGCCTGTAAAGATCTATCGGAGGAAGACATAACCAGTGTGGCTCCAGCCATGAGGCCGCCACGCAGGGCAACAAACTACCTCACAAAAAAACAGCTGGCTTTGTTCCTGCTGATGAAAGAAAAACACAGGCACAACTTTCAAACAATATTGGCCTATAAACACTGAGCTCAGAAAAGAACGTTATCGAAGTCCCGCATACAATGTCCCAGTAAATCTAACGCAGGTGCTTCTTTCTCTTCTCTGTCACCAATTCATTTTCCTTGCAGACCTTTAGTAGTACCTCTGCATTTATCCAAGCCATGGTTTATATGACGAATCCACAATGATATTAAGCCGCTGTTGATTTGGAACACCAAATGTGTGTTGAACACATGATAAACTGTCAATTATTGTACGATTTATGAATGGCGAGGAATGAATTTGCACTTCAGGCTAAGCCACAGCCAAACAAACTTTATTACGGCTTAGTGCATCTCGCCAATGATTGCTCTGAAGTGAAAGAATTTGTCAGAAGTGTTCTTTGACTGTTCCTATTTTCCAAAGGGAACTTTGTTTGTGTGTCTGATTATACTCAGATTGTGGCACACCCTCTCTCTCTGGACATATTCATCTTAGGGCCAATATTTTAGATGACAGGAGAGGTCTGTCTGGTTCCCATGTTTCTCCCCCCTCCCCCGTATTTGGTCCTCCTCTGTTCTCTCTTTCTTCCTCTTGGCCAGCTCCTCAGCTTCAACATTTGAGTTCTACTTTTCCTCCAGCTGTTCCCAGACTCCTCTGCCTTCTGTGCAAAATTCAGTGACCTCTTCCTTTCACAACTGGCTTGAGTTCTAATTCTCATAGACATCGTCTACATTGGACTCCCCAGAGGATACGCCAAAGAGGCGCCTTCTCATGTCAACTATCTTCTGTGTCTTCTCTTAAGAGGAGACTTGGGAATCATACAATCAAACCTTTTTATAATTCTGTTCCAAAAATTGGGCAATTACATCTTGCCAAGAGTAGAGAGAAAAAAAAACATAAAAACATTGGGGGGCGGGGTAGATACTGTTTTATCTTCTGTGAAAACCAAAGAAGCTATGGATGAAACTTACAAATCACAGTGCTTGAGGATAAATAATATTTGGCACTCGGCACTATGGAGTGCACTCTAACATTGAGTCAAAGTCTGATTTAAACATCTTTAAACATATATATTGTTCTACAATTTATAAGCACAGAGAAATGGTTCTAGAACTTCAATGAAACTGTAAAATCAAATGAATCTGGAACTCTTTAAATCTTTATAGCCCAATGATTCATAAGATTTTCATAATCTCAACATGATTGCAGCTTCCAGAATTAATTTTAGCTGGATGAACCTTCTGTCCCTTATCTACTGGGATGGCTTCAGAGAACATCTGGGGGTTACAGTGCCAGGAAATCTAGATAAGAATGCAGGTAATGTAATAACTCTTGATATCTATTAAGATAAGCGTACTATATTGTTTTGGTTATGACTTATAAGCTTTTCAGTTTCTTGGATCTAGCAATTGATTTATTTATTGATTGACTTGCTTGCCACTCATCTCATCTAGAAACATTAACAGATTATTTATTTCATTTATAATCTGTGTTTCTACTCAGGGAAAGCATTCCAGATGGCATTCATGGAAATGCATGGCATTTTACCTCAGAACAGAATCACTCAGAAATAAATGTCTAAAGGCTTAAAAACAGTGTCTCCTCAATTTTTCATGCATTTAAAACCAGGATTTTAGTCCATTTTCATTTAAGAGACAAAGAGAGAGAGAGAGAGAAAGATAGGTGTAAATCAACATATACAAAGATAAACTTACTTTCATCCCCCCTCTTTTCCAGTGATTAAATGCCACCTGAACAATTCCTAGATTCAGAAGAAACACACCTCTTGAATGTCAGTTTTTGGGATCAACACAGATTCAGGCCTATGGATTTTTCAGAGGGATACGAGAAGGTGGACGCTGAACACAATCTCTGAGGGAGATAGGCAGTTAAGAAATAGGAAATATAAATCAATGAATGAATGAATGAATGAATAAATAAATCAAATAAGTCTTTTCACATATTTTTATATCTGAGATGTTTTCTACAATTTATCTCCTTAAGGAACTCAGAGTAGATTGAGACCTGGAATTTATGCTCCAAGCTTCATCAGTGCTCAGAATGCTAATGTGATTATCTTCAAGTTGCACCAGAGACACATTTCACATGTATGAAACTGCTGGAATGGTGAAGTACTAAATGTGGATGAGGACTTTGAGATTGTTCCACGATTAAATAATCACACAGCTTCCTCAACCACAGCTAGGTTTCTGCATAGAATCAATCAAACCACATTTTGTACGTGCCAATTTACTTGGCTCTAATTTGAAGAGTCATCATTTCTTTTTTTTATATGATAAGCGTATAGGAAGTCGACAAAAGCCAAGTCAATATAGGAACCTATTTAGCTGGGTTCTTCCCTTTATCCAATACTAGATCCATTTAAGTGGAGATATTTGGGGTTTAAGGTGGGACTCTGCTTCTGAAAACTCTTCCAGACATAGGTGATAATCTATCAGCTAAGGAAGATGACATCCCAGGGTGACACCGAAGAAGTTCTAAGTTAAAATTGTTAAATTTAAATGCAATATGGATTTAGATATTCTGTTGTCTTCTGTTTTCCCCCCTCTATCGCTACTCTTTATTGTTTTAGCACTAGAGTTTAATAGCAATTAACAGTATGACTTAAGTATCAGATTCATGTAACATATGAGGCGCAATGGCTGGCTTCATGGTAACCCAAAACCAGTGGTGGGATTCAGCTAGTCCGCACCACTTCGGGAGAACCGGTTGTTAACTTTCTGAGCAGTTTGATGAATTGGTTGTGGGAAGAATTATTTGAATCCCACCACTGCCCTAAACCATAATAAGGACTGTTTTGTTTTTGCTTAGCATAATGTGTGAATTTAGCCATTGTGGTTTGCAAGCCATGGCATATTGCTTTTTTTGTTGTATGAATTCAGCTAATTATAATTTATTCATGTATGGCACGTGATGTGAGGCCGCTCAACATGCCATATTATCAACACACCCCTCATCTTAGTCTGTAAAAACATAAGCATACTTTATCCAATCATCATAAAGATTGAGAGCTTACTGAGAAGTCCTTTGAATCCCTGAAAAATCCTCTCTAAATGCAGAACAGAATTGTGTGGGTCTCAAAACCTCAAAATAATTTGCTGGTTCTCCTTTTTAACGTTATAATAAACAGCTGTGACTTGGTTCCTCTTCTAACAATAATAGCCATGTGTCTTTGTGTGCAGAAGTGACTTTTGGTCAACTTTCAAAGTGGAGAACTGGAGAAATTCTCACAGTTGTGATGCCCAGGCAGTGTCATACTTCCGCTCCATGACAGTAATGAAAGGAAGAAAGCCTAACTAAAGGCCAGATTCATGCTTAAAGAGGGCACCCCATCATTCTTGTAATTCCACCAGTCTTTAATAGTTTCACAGCACTGACAACATCTCTATTATAGTTTAATCTGAAGACAAGCAATATTTTGGGGACTTAAGGTTGCATACAATTATTGTGTGGACTATTAAGGTTATATTTAAAAAGGGGATGGTGCCACTGGGGGAAAAAAGTTCAAGGCATTAGCTAATATTTAATCTAATTAAAAAGAGCTCTGCCACCTCCAGCTGGATTCTTTTAAAACAGGGGCATCAAACTCAAGAACCGCAAGCTGGATCCTTTTTGCTAGCAGAGTGCTGCAGGAGGCTGTCACAGCCAAAAATGGAGCCCGGAGGGTCGCGTGGGGCCTCCTGAGCTCCATTTTCACTGGCAGAGTGCTAGCAAAACAAACTACTAGCAAAAGTGGATCCCACCCAGCCCTGCCTGGAGTGATGTTGAGCTGGCCACGCCCACAATGGCTATGCCCACAGTGGCCATGCCCCCCCCCCCAGGCCAAACACAACCCTGGTGCAGCCTTCAATGAAATCAAATTTGCCACCCCTGTTCTAAAAGGTTCAAAAGAAAGGGATGAAACCCTTAACAGGCTGAACATTCCCATATATACTTTTGACAAGATTGCCTAATATACATAATTCTAAAAGATATACATAATACATACATATTTATGTATGTGTGTGTATGTGTATATTATCTATCTATCTGAGTGCACACACACAGAGACCCTTAAAAATTGAAGATAAACTGTTCTGAACTATGTACATTAAAACAAACACTGTCCATTTTGTCATTACATGGGTCACTGAAAAAATGAGAAAAAAAAACAATGTTATTTTTTTAAAAAAACATCAATTCCAAAATAGTTTAGAAGCTTAAATTTAGAAGACGGTTAACTATGAGTCCTTGTTACAAATTGAACTGCCATTGATGTTAGATGGTAAAGCACTTGGTAATATGATCAGAAGGTTCCTAAGCTCAGGCTCTATATCATTTTCTCTCTATTAATAAGTTTGGGAATTCAGTGCTGCAAGATCTGGCAATAGCTGACAGCACAGATGACTTTAAAAAAAATAATTAAATTTATGGAGGAGAGCTCTATTGGTAGCTCACAACTATGTTTCTCTGGAAAGATCAGCCATCATCTTACATCATCATTGTAACCTTTTGTATGTAATGGTATAAGATTTCCTGCCTGAGCAGGGGGTTGGACTAGAAGACCTCCAAGGTCCCGTCCAACTTTGTTGTTCTGTTATTCTGTCTTCATATGCACTGTAGAGAGATGTTATTGTCACAATTAATGCTGAGATAGATTTGTCCTTATTCATCAATATCAAACTGCTAATTGTTGCTTTATTTATTTTATTCTATCGAGCTTTCGCTGCATTTATTTAAATGCCTAGAACAACACCTACAGTTGAATCAATTTGCTTCAGTTAAAATTACACTAAATTAATTAAATTTATAATTACTTTTCAATTATTAATTTTATTTTTCTAACACATTAAGAATTGAGGTGGTAGCTAATTCTGAAGGGGACTTGAAACTGTACCTAAAGTTTTCAAGGTCCTGGAGCCGCTGATTATGCAGCTTGGCTCTAGCTCCTACTAACTCTGGATAGCAGCACTTTTCACCAGTGGAAAGTTTCGAATTGTCTTCACAGGCAGATCCTCAGAAACATGAGACAGCAGAGAATTTCCCCAGAAGTCTCACCAAAGCAGAACTGGGTGATACACTTCTCTTCATAGAGTTTAGAACTTCAGTAACCTTTGAATTGCTGATTCATAACGCTTTGAGCCTTTTTTACAACTGCTGAGCTGAATTGCTTTCTACTCGTCCTTGAGTCAGCAAAATACACACACACACCAATGTGAGATTTGCTGCCTCCCCAGCTTATATTTCTTCCTGGTCACTAGAATTTCTTGATATCCTCCAAGGCAATTGGGAGCCTGCATACCAAACTTATGCTTTAACTGGCACAGTTAGGAAAACATCTTGCCTGATGGATTAGTTACACTGGAGTGGGCAATGAGTTAAGAGATGGAAAAGTAGAATTTAGGGATTTTGGCGTGCAATTCTCAGTTCTGGTTTTGCACTATTGCAATACACTTGATTGCTAATAAACTGTTCCTTTCTCAACAAATGGAGCCAAGAATCGTTTCTATTTAGAGGTTTAAGCTACGGCAGATCTGACAGCAAGCCTAATAAGATTTACACTTTTTGAGGCTGCCTATATATGATGCCAGAATAAAGAAAACAGACATCCCTACAACCAAGGACAATTGCACGTGGTATCTAAATCTAAGTATATAACTTTATTCATGGACTGGAAATGACATGAAGGCAATATTTTGGGGATGCTGCAGAAAAAATATGTTGTCAGGATATGTTTATGGTGTGATTAGGTGCAAGTAGAAAAGACTTCCCTTGTGATCTGATGAAGCCCCAAATCCTTTTCAAACGTACCACTTTCCAACAACAAACACATTGTATTTTTTTTTCTCTATGTGTAAAAGATTATATGTATTCTTCTGCTAAAAATTGTTTGGGGGAAGATGGGCATTATTTCTGGCCACCCTGGAAACAGTGAAGGACCAGCCCGCGGTGCCTCTGTCAGCGAAAATGGAGCTCAGGAGCCCATTTTTGCTTGGCAGAGCATTCGGGCTACCACAGACACCCCTGACACTAGTGACGTCAAGCTGGCCATGCCCACCCTCAGCCCTCGAGGTCAAAAACAACCCCAATGTGGCCCTCAATGAAATCGAGTTTGACACCCCTGCTGTAGAGTGGATTATCAAAATTATATGCTTCCAAGCATGGGTAGATTTCAGTCTGTTGGGGATCTACTCTGATTTTTTCCCTTAAAACCCAAATATTTTCTGGTTAGCCCTTGGTTAAAATATGTATGACTACTGGGAGAATTCTACTGAGGTTATGTACTTATTTATTAAATTTATATGCTACCGTTATATGCTGTAACAGTGACTCTGGGAAGTTAAACTTGAAAGTGTTTATGTAAATGCATTCCTTCCCTATCTCCAGATGTATGTAGATTTATTAGAACCATGAGTTATCATAATTCAGACATCGCCCTCTTCAGAATAATCAGGGCCAAATGCAACACTTTGTGCTCTGAACCAATTGCCCCGAGAGGAACACCAGCACTTGATTTGATCTTTTTTTTTTTTGCCATTCTTTGATTTGGATGTGCGGAGTTAACAAAGCAGAGAGGAAGCCACCATGCTGCCATTTGCACAGTATCTGACAGTGTCCTTGTATTGAGGAAATTAAAATGATGGTTAATTGCAAGGCCGTGTCATTGTTAAGTCTACTGGATCAGAACAGTTCCCTTGCTGCCATCTCCCCATCTAAGCAGACTTACCTAGAAAACAGAGGATGAAAGACCTTCCACAGGAAAATCCATTTTCAGAAATGTCAGGAGTAAAAAGTCACAAATTCCTGGTTTTTCTGGGGATGGTCCAGGGGTGAAATCTAAATTTTTTTGCTATCGGTTCTGTAGGCGGGGCTTAATTAGTGGGCGGGGCTTGGTGGTAAGGTGACTGGGTGGGCGTGGCCAAGTCAATGTCACTTCTTTGCCCTTTTTTAACCTACAAAATACAACACAACACAACTGGCTCACCCACAATGTAAAAGCAGCTGTGCTAGACCCAAAATGGCCCCTGCAACAAGCAGGAACGTCACACAGCCACAAAAAGCCCAAAAAACCAACTTTCACACTTCACACACACAAAATTCCACATACAGCTTTGTGAGATTTTGTGTGTTTGTATAGTTAGAGTGAAACACTACAGAAACACACTAAAGCTGCACAAATATTATTTTATTTTAATTTATTTTTATTTTTATATAAAAGCAGCTAAATTTAAAACTTCCTAAACTTTAAATGGCTAGGTCTAAAAAAAGAACAACTAAAAAACCTCCCAATTAACTATTTTTTTTAAAGCTCCCAAAGGGGAAAAAAACTTACGCAATAGAAAAGGGGTCTCCAACCTTGGCAACTTTAAGACTTGTGGACTTCAACTCCCAGAATTCCTCAGCCAGCTTTGCTGGGAGTTGAAGTCCACAAGTCTAGGCAGGAAGGCAGGCAGGCAGGTGAGGTGTCACACCTGCCTGCAGGAGAGGTGTCACACGCTCCCGTGTGACACCTCTCCTGTGCGAGCTGCACTGGCTCCCGGTGGTCTTCTGGGTGCGCTTCAAGGTTCTGGTTACTACCTTCAAGGTTCAAGGTTCTGGTTACCACCTTTAGAGCGCTCCATGGCTTAGGACCTGGTTATTTACGGGACCGCCTACTACCACAAGCAGTCTCCCACCGGCCGGTACGCTCTCATAGAGAGGGGCTCCTCCGGGAGCTAAACAATGTCAACTGGTGGCCTCCAGGGGGAGGGCCTTCTCTGTGGGGGCACCCACTATCTGGAACAAGCTCCCCCCAGGAGATACGGAGGATCCCGGATCTACGCACTTTCCGCCGTGCTCTTAAGATTCTCCTATTCCAGCAAGCCGACCTGGCCTAATTTTCTCCCCTGTTTTAAAATTCTTTTACATCGAAATTTTAATTTGTTTTAAATTTTGGGATTTTTAATTGTCTTGGGCTAAATTATTTAATCTGGTTTTAATTATATCTTTTAACTTTTGTATTTATGTATTTTATTTTGTGCCTGTTCACCGCCCTAAGTCCTTCGGGAGTAGGGCAGTATATAAATTTAATAAAAGACAAAAGACAAAAGACAAAGGCAGAAAGAGCTGCTCACCGATGAGCTTGATTGCAGGCAGGGAGATTCAGTTGCTTGCTGATGCATGGATTGTGATCGTCATGCAATCAGCAGCTAAGGTAAGCAAACTGGAGGCTGGGAGAGTGGGGTGGGGGGGAGAAAAAATAAATTTTTTTTCTTTTACATGGCTCTAGAGACCCAAGCTGAGTTGCCTGATTAGCAGGCAACTCAGCTGGGATCGTCAGAGCTTGGCTGGTCAGAGCCATTTAAAAGGAAAAAAAGGCTCTGATGATCGTGTGGCTCAGCTGGGCATGGGGGGCGGGGGCAGGGATTTTTGCTACCAGTTCTCCGAACTGCCTGCCGCCATTGCTACCTACTCACCCGAGCCAGTCCGAACCAGGAGCATTTCATCCCTGGGATGGTCCCTCAGTCTAGACTTTAGGATAATGTTGGGAAGATTGGGAAACATTGGATTACAGAATACAGTGCAGCCATCGACAAAGTATGCACTTCGTTTGAATAGTGCCCTTTCTAACTGCTTGTGGTTTTCTGTTACTGACTTGCATTTACTATATAGAAATATAGTAGAATGTTGTGTATGTACCTTCCTTAAAGTCAGGTCCAGAAATATTGGGACATCGACACAATTCTAACATCTTTGGCTCTATACACCACCACAATGGAGCTGGAATGAAACAAACACGATGTGCTTTAACTGAAGATTGTCAGCTTTAATTTGAGGGTATGTACATCCAACTCAGGTGAATGGTGTAGGATTTACAGCAGTTTGCATATGTGCCTCCCACTTGTTAAGGGACCAAAGGTAATGGGACAATTGGCTTCTTAGCTGTTCCATGGCCAGGTGTGTGATATACCCTCATTACCCCAATTACAATGTGCAGATGAAAGGGCCAGAGTTCATTTCAAGTGTGCTATTTACATTTGGAATCTGTTGCTGTCAACTCTCAAGATGAGTTCCAAAGACTGTCACTATCAGTGAAGCAAGCCATCATTAGGCTGAAGAAACAAAACAAACCCATCAAAGAGATAGCAAGAACATTAGGCGTGGCCAAAACAACTGTTTGGAACATTCTCAAAAAGAAGGAACGCACCGGTGAGCTCAGCAACACCAAAAGACCTGGGAGACCACGGAAAACAACTGTGGTGGATGACCAAAGAATTCTTTTCCTGGTGAAGAAAACACACTTCACAACAGTTGGCCAGATCAAGAACACTCTCCAGGAGGTAGGTGTATGTGTATCAAAGTCAACAATCAAGAGAAGACTTCACCAGAGTGAATACAGAGGGTTCATCACAAGATGTAAACCATTGGTGAGCCTCAAAAACAGGAAGGCCAGATTAGAGTTTGCCAAACAACATCTAACAAAGCCTTCACAGTTCTGGAACAAGATCCTATGGCCAGATGAGACCAAGATCAACTTGTACCAGAGTGATGGGAAGAGAAGAGTATGGAGAAGGAAAGGAACTGCTCATGATCCTAAGCATACCACCTCATCAGTGAAGCATGGGGTGGTGTCATGGCGTGGGCATGTATGGCTGCCAATGGAACTGGTTCTCTTGAATTTATTGATGATGTGACTACTGACAAAAGCAGCAGGATGAATTCTGAAGTATTTTGGGCAATATTATCTGCTCACATTGAACCAAATGCTGCAGAACTCATTGGACGGCGCTTCACAGTGCAGATCAATGACCCAAAGCATACTGCAAAAGCAACCAAAGAGTTTTTGAAGGGACAGAAGAGGAATGTTATGCAATGGCCAAGTCAATCACCTGACCTGAATCCCATTGACCATGCATTTCACTTGCTGAAAACAAAACTGAAGGGAAAATGCCCCAAGAACAAGCAGGAACTGAAGACAGTTGCAGTAGAGGCCTGGCAGAGCATCACCAGGGATGAAACCCAGCATCTGGTGATGTCTATGCGTTCCAGACTTCAGGCTGTGATTGACTGCAAAGGATTTGCAACCAAGTATTAAGAAGGGAAAGTTTGATTTATGATTATTATTCTGTCCCATTACCTTTGGTCCCTTAACAAGTGGGAGGCACATATGCAAATTGCTGTAAGTCCTACACCGTTCACCTGAGTTGGATGTACATACCCTCAAATTAAAGCTGACATCTGCAGTTAAAGCACATTGTGTTTGTTTCATTCCAACTCCATTGTGGTGGTGTATAGAGCCAAAGATGTTAGAATTGTGTTGATGTCCCAATATTTCCAGACCTGACTGTATATAGAAATGACACATGCCTATATAGGTAACATCCCGTCTCTAAGACCTAGTGCTGAGGTCTCTGTTGAATACACAGATATATTCTGGGCCTATAGAATAGCCAGCTATAGAACCTATGACTGTTCCAAATATCTTTAATATTACTGATTTGTGTTTATTCTTCTTTCTTGCTGCATTAGACAGACATCCCATTTTTACATAGTAAATACAAGCCAGTAACAGAAAACACAAGCAGTTAAAAAGGCATTATGCAAACAAAGTGCAAAGTTTGTTTATGATTGCTCTGTATTCCCTAACACAGTGTTTCCCAATCTTGGCAACTTGAAGATGTGTGGACTTCATCTCCCAGAATTCACTAGCTAGTTTGGAGTCCATACATTTTCACATTGCCAAGGTTGAAAAACACTGCTCTAATCTGTCCAGGCAACAAATCTTAATTAAACTGGCTGCTGAAGGATCACTAAAAGAAGAGAACAAAACATGATATAGAACACAGATACATACATACATACATACATACATACATACAAACATACATACACATGTGTACATGAATAGGTGGATATTCATAGTGGCTGTAATTTAAATAGCAACATACTGTATTTTATTATTGAAGAAAAAACTGACTAGGCCATCTCTGTTTCAGCTCAACCTGCTATCTATATTGTAAATATTTCCACATTGACATTAATTATACCTCTGGATCTAGAAATGTGATCTTTTTGTGAATGGCAGCAAATTAATTATTTTAATTGCTTTGTTTTATTTTGCAGAGGCAGCATCTGCAATATTCAACAATCTCAGAGCAGATCTGAATTTAGCAATTTAGCAAGGAAGGGCCTGATTTGGGGAGTGGTTAGGCAGGGAGGAAGGCCTAACCTTTCTCCAGCCCAGAGAGAAAAGTACTGCTTTCTCTCTGAAACCTTCTCTTCGCCACAAACGAGGTTTAACTATTTCTTTCTTGTGCTGGTTCTCTATTCCTTTCTGGCCAACTACCTTAACATCTTACAACTGTCTGATGGAATAAAAGCCAGAGTCTCCACAAAAAAGGACAGAAGACTTAAGTCAGTTCTGACTTGTGACAGCATTTTCCTGGTACAATGGGATAGAAATATTTTCCCTTCTCTTGTACCTGGCTGGTTTTTTTTCTTCTCCAATTTCTCAATCTGGATTAAGTCCCAGGAAGTATCCCATCTAAAAACTAATCAGAACCAGTCCCTTAGTAATAAATGCAAATCCAACAGATACATATTGGTAGATGAGGTGTGTTTGTGGTGGTGGGAGGGCATTGTTTGGTTTCTACAGTTGCCTGCTAAATTGGTATTAATTTATGTATGTCGCCCAGAGTCTCTTTAGACAGCGAGATGAGTGGCATATAAATTTAATAATTTTTTAAAAATCGTATTTTGGGAAAGGAATGGAAGAGTCTACATTTATTGCTGCTGGAGCTAGCTTACCATTGCAGAGATTGATACCATATTTCTTTGGAATTGGCCCTGCAAAAACTGTCATCTATATTTGGAATATTTAAGGAGACAGCTCGTAGTGACTGAGTTTTGCTTCTTAGTACGTCGTGGTGCTGCTCTTTGGGGCTATTACAACCCAAGATGGATCCCTCCTAAATCCCTTAAAAAATGAATCAGCCATCGCCCAAGATGTAGTCTTTATACAAATATTCTACAAGGCCATCTTGCTCAGTTTTAACTGCTGATGGCCTGACATCCTTTCCACAGATTTGGATGACCTTCCTTTGGGGAATTCAAGTCCTCTTTGGAAGATGGACTTTGAATTTTAAGCTAGAGTGGGAGTAGCCTCATGCTCTCTTTGGAGATTTGACATTACTGTTGTCTGAATTTAAGAAGGGGAACCATTCTTCGTGCTGAACTCAGCAAGAAAGAAATGGTCAGTCATTCAGAAAAAGGGGCAAAAGTAAACCAACTAATTTAGTTTGTGACTGATTATCTGACAACCTCCCTGGGAAACTCCAGCCTGCTAGGCTGCTTCTCCTATTCTGACACAGACACACACACCCGCCTCTGTAGAAGACCTGATGCTGAAAGAGTCAGTCTTAGGGAGATGGAAGCGTTTAAATTTTGAAAAGAAAAAAACAGAAAAGTCAGAAAAAAGAAACACCGATTGCAACTTACCCGGAAGATTTTGAATTGTGAGGAGAGCAGAGCTTGACTACGTCCTGTATCCTGCTGCTTTCCTGCTTCTGGCAGGCTGTGATGAACTCTTCCTCCGATGTGATGTGAGGTTTTCCTCCAGTATCAAAACCTGAAGTGCCTTTTGGAAAGGTGTGTTTAATTTCTCTGCCCTGGGCAAATCCCAGATTTTCTTTGATTGCGCCTAACCTGAGAGGGGGTCACAGACCTCCTTTCGGATCTTCCTCTCCATTTCGCTATTTTCCAACTGAAAAAGAAGAAGATTTCCCCCTGATTCAGCTCAAAGCTCAATCTGGCTAAAGTTTGTCTCAGGGAGGTGGTGTGTTGAAAAGCAGGCACAAGAGGGAGGGTGTGTCTGGGGTGGGGGGGAATAGAAGACGAGATCTTATTTCCAGCCCCTCTCTTAGCCTCTCGCCCGAAAGCAGCAGTTTGGCAAGATCTGGATGTGGGAGAAGTTAAAAATGTTTCTTATTACTGCCTCTTCCTGCTTGGCTTTTCTCCACCACTCCCAGCTAATAAAGCATTTCCTATTGTGGAGCAGAGATCTATGCACATACTCTCTCTCTCTCTCTCTTTTTCATACACACACATTTTTCCTACAAGACCCAAGCACCCCCCTCGACAGTCTTTTTCCATGATCTCCCATACAGCCCCTCTCGCTTCATCTTTTCTCCCCGCTCTTCCTTGCTATGGACTTCATTTTCAGAGGTTGCCAGATCCACCAGTGCCTCGATGCCTCCTTTAGTAGATCATGCTTCTCTTGGCTGTGATGTGTTGATGAAGCCATAGTTGACTGGAATTACAGACTGATGGATTCACATGGTTGGCCTAAGGCCCTAAGCGGTAAAATTGTATTCTGTTGGGAGCAGCAATGGCTTCACATTGTGTATCCAACTCTGCAGCCAGAGGACATCTGGAGAACAGCTGACTTCTCAACCTGCTTAGCATGGCCATGTCCTCAGTGTTTGCTGCTTGCATTCTCCATCAGCCACTTCAGCTCCAGATTTTGGCCAATACCTGATCCTGACCCAGTTTGAAATCCAAAGCAGGATGCCCTTTTTGACTGGCTGGTATCTGGTATCTCTTGTCTCACTCCTTAGAACTGGTCCTTACTAGGGACAGCAATAACTAAGGAGTTTCAGGCAAGACTCTGAATTGTTCCTTCTTTAGTAAGAGTTTGTCACAGAAGATGCCAGTCACCTGGAGAGGTTAAAAGAGTGACTTTTATGAAACTCTTTGACTGAAATTAGCAGCATGGTACGTGAGTGTATGTCAGTCCTCTGCCCCTTTTGAGTGTGCAACTTCATCATACACACGCAAAAAAGTGGTGACACTTTAACTGTCCTGTTGTGACCCCATTAACAAAAATAACATGAGTTAGAAATGACCTTGGAAGTCTTTCTAGTCCAACCCCCTGCTCAAGCAGGAAACTCTATATCATTTCAAACAAATGGTTGCCCAATCTTTTCTTAAAAATGCCCAATGTTGGAGCACCCACAACTTCTCACGCCTTTGTCACCTCCCGACTGGACTACTGTAATGCTCTTTACATGGGGCTCCCCTTGAAAAGCACCCGGAGGCTCCAACTGGTCCAGAATGCGGCCGCGCGGGTGATTATGGGCGCAACTCGTTGTGCCCACGTGACACCCCTCCTGCGCGAGCTGCACTGGCTCCCAGTGGTCTTCCGGGTGCGATTCAAGGTGTTGGTTACCACCTTTAAAGCACTCCATGACATTGGACCTGGATACCTTCGAGACCGTCTTCTGCCACCAGTAGCCTCCCACCGGCCAGTCCGCTCCCACAGAGAGGGTCTCCTCAGGGTGCCATCGGCCAAATTATGTCGGCTGGTGACACCCAGGGGGAGGGCCTTCTCTGTGGGAGCCCCTGCCCTTTGGAATGAACTGCCCCCAGAAATGCGTAAGATCTCCAACCTCCGTGTATTTCGCTGTGCCCTCAAAACCTTGTTGTTCTGCCAGGCTGGGCTATCAATGTAAAGATTTTAATTGGTTTTAAATGTGGGATTTTAAATTTGGGGGTTTTATAATTGAGCCAATTATTTAATAATTTTAATTATTTTTAAATTTTGTCTGTCTTTGTGCTTTTAATCAGGCTGTACACTGCCCTGAGTCCTTCGGGAGAAGGGCGGTATAGAAATAACATCATCATCATTATTATTATTATTATTATTATTATTATTATTATTATTATTATTATTTATTATTATTATTATTATTATTATGGCAAGTGTTTCCACTGATTAATTATTCTGTCAGGAAATTGCTCCTTAGTTCTAAGTTGTTTCTCTTCTTGATTAGTTTCCATCCATTGCTTCTTGTCCTTCATTCAGGTGCTTTGGAGAATAGGTTGACCTCCTTTTCTTTGTGGCAGCCCCTCAAATATTGGAACACTGCTATCATGTCAACCCTGGCCCTAGTCCTTCTTTTAATTAAACTAAACATATCCAATTCCAGCAACCGTTCTTTATATATTTTAGCCTCCAGTCCCCTTTGTTGGTCCTCTCTGCACTCTTTTGAGTCTCCACATCTTTTTTATATGGTGGTGATGAAAACTGAATGCAATATTCCAATTGTGGTCTTGCCAAGGCATTATAAAGTGGTATTTATTTAAAGAACCGCGGGTAGAGTGCAGTACTGCTGATCACCGGCTGCCAGCAGTTTGGCAGATCGAATCTCACCAGGCTCAAGGTTGACTCAGCATTCCATCCTTCCGAGGTCGATAAAAATGAGGACCCAGATTGTTGGGGGGTGTGACTCTGAAAACCGCTTAGACAGGACTGTAAAGCACAATGAAGCGGTATATAAGTGGAAGTGCTATTGCTATAAGTGCTATTATAAAAGTCCCTCCTGCCATCCGAACATCCTACTGGTTGAAATTACATGCCAATAAACCAATGTTATTGATTACACATAAATGTGCATTGGATTGGACTTTCCAATCATTAACTTGGTTTGTTAGAAGATTTCAACATTTAATTTTTCAGTTGCTATTCAAACTTCTGATTTTGAGCAGAATTCTGTTAACCTTAATATAGGTTATAGCATCGGCTTTACAGATTTACACTTAGGGTTTCACCAACCCAGCCAATTAAAAAGAGAGTAAACATGGGACAGTGTAGTAGCCCCTTGCTAACTGTTGTTTCTTTTAATGCTCTTATTATACCACAGTAACTTTGTGAATCCAGCCATTGTAATTTGTAGCATAAGGCTACAGTATGAACTTATAAAGCTTCCGTATGAACTCAGACATATGGTGGCCAAGTCAAAAATACAAACAAACAATGTTTAGAAACTTCATGAGTAAATCCAGCCAATGCTTAAGCAGCCTGAGGATAAACATATTGTAGAAATTAATTGCTATTTGTTTTGTAAGAGATGCTTCCAATTCTCTGCCCTGTTTCCCCTAAAATAAGACATCCCCTGATAATAAGCCAATTGGGCTTTTTTTCTTTAATTTGATTTATATGCCGCCCTTCTCCAAAGACTCAGGGGGGCTTACAATGTGCTAAGCAATAGCCTTCATCCTTTTGTATATTTATACAAAGTCAGCTTATTGCCCCCACAACTGGGTCCTCAATTTACCTACCTTAGAAAGGATGGAAGGCTGAGTCAACCTTGAGCCTTGGCGAGATTCGAACCCTGCAGTAATTGCAGGCAGCTGGTCTTAATAACCAGCTTAATAACAGGGTGCCTTAACCACTGTACTACCAAAGTGCTCTTTTGAGTGCATGACCTAAAATAACCCCCCCGAAAATAAGGCCTCCACGAAAATATTTAAATGCATGCACAGCCAGTCCTTGTCATTTCCCCCGGTTAGGGTTAGGGAGACAGAGATGGAAATCAGGTAAGATGGCAAGAGAAGCCATGGGATCACCTTTTGCCACCTTCTGACAAGCAAAGTCAATGTGGATGCCAGATTCGCTTAACAACTGTGTCACTAACTTAACAACTGCAGTGATTCACTTAACCAGAGCAGCAAGAAAGGTTGTAAAATGGGGCAAAACTCACTTAACAAATGTCTCACTTAGCAACAGAGATTTTGGGCTCAATTTTGATCAATTTATGATCAAAATTCTATATTAGGGCAACTGAATATAAATTCTATTATCCCGTAACATTAGAAGATATCTGTGGCCTTGTAATCTTGTGCAAAATTAATCTGTGCTTAATCCAACATTAATCCATACTGGTTTAACTTTCTAGCACTTGAAAATAAATCCATCTGTGTATAACTTCCATGGAAATGCAGATACGTTAGAAAATTTAAATACATTAGAAACCCAGTAGTTTTAATTTACCGGCATAAGTTCTATGAACATCAGGCTTGAAAATTAGGTACTTACCACAAAATATATGGGTAACTGAAGCTGTACATCAACCCCCCTGCTTTTTGATATGTAGAAAATATGGATGGTGGTTTGAATTTCTGGGTATTATGTAACTATTTTTGCAGAACTTGTTACACTGAGTGGATCCTTATCTAAACCAATGTATCTCCTTTCCAAATAAACTTCATAATCTCTATAGTAAAAAAGAAAAAAAAAAAGAAATTTTCCTATTCGATTGCATTCCTATCAGATGTAAATTCTGTCATGTTTTCCTATCAATTTAATGAGTAATGTCTAAATTTCTTGCTGGCAATTAAAGAGTGCATTTGTGTGAAACTAATATCTTAGTTCCTAAAGTCCTTCAGCTCATGATGATTTTAGTATAATCAGAATCCCGCATAAAGGTAAAACTAAAAGTGCAAGACAAAAATGTGGCAAGAGACACATTCTCCTTCCTGTCTCCCCTTAACTACTTCTTCCTGTTGGAAAAAACTGAATCTAAATTCAGCAATTTCCTTTGGAAAGGATACAAATCTACCTATTATACAGAAACCCTGCCAAACATTTTCTGCATATTTTGAATCAAACTATCCAGTTCTTAGTCACCTCCTCAAACCTACTTTGCTAATATTCAGTCCAGATCATTTCCTCACAGATCCAAAACTCAAATAAGGTTAAAACAACCAAAATCATCCTGACACATTTATTATGGTACAAGTTCCACCATCTACTATATATATGAAAGCTATGAATTTGTCAGCTTTTCAAAAGTTTTTATTTTAAAAAAGTAGATAAAAGGTAAACATGAAAATAGATAAAGAAAAGTTACAGGAAGAAAAAAAGAAAATTAAAGAAGTGACCTGATCTTTTTTGCAGCAGTTACAGATGAAGTATTATCCCTCCTCACTCATTCAAATTATGTTACATAGATCCCTTTTGTCTCAGATTCAACTCTTTTTTTTTTTTTCTTCACTCAGCAAATCCACAAATCACCATTTCACTTTTTTCTGTATTCAGCAAACTGCATTCAAAGTTTCAATCTTTGAACAGGTCAATTTTGCTGGGTTTTTTTTTTTTTTGGTCACTCTATCATCTTCACATTCCAATCCGCCATTGTGAGTATTTCAGTATTTCTCCATCATTGTTCATATACTAATCTTCCTGTAATTACCATATAAAAAAATCAGTCTTCTGTAAATCTTTAAATGATTATCCATAAGTCCCAATAAAAAAAGGTTTCATCTTGATATTTCTGTTTAAAATTCTTTACATCAACATAAGTATTTGTATCAATTTTTTTTATTTTTTTATAAGTCCACCAAAGATCATAAAATGTCCCCTTGTGTTTTTCACATTTCCACCATTGCCTAGAAGTAGCTTTATATATCTTAGATACTTTCTCTGATGTAGTATACCAATGGCACATCATTTTATAAAAATTCTCTCTTAAATTATAACACAATGTAACTTTCAGTCCTTTTACCCACATCCTCTCCTACTGATCCATCCGTATGTTATAACCAAAATTCTTAATCTATTTTATCATGTAACTTTAACTTGTTCTTCTTCCATTTCAATTCTCAACAAAAGTTCATAAATTTCTGCAATTACATGTTCATTTGTACATAGTTCAATTTCAAATTCCATCTTATGTTATTCAATTCTAGTTAGATTTTTGTCGAAATTAAACATTTCTTTTAATTATGCATATAAAACCCTTGAAAAATAAATCCCTTTGTAGTCAGTTGTTCTCTTGACCTCATCTTAACATTCTCCATTTTCCTGCACTACAAATCTTGATATGTTAAACATTTCTCTTTGCCTGGTGTTCTTTTTTTTCTTCTTCTTCTATAAAATGCTTCTTCTGTTAAGACCAATAAAGGTATTTTAGGACACGGCCTGGGCTTGTATTCATTCCATATTTTTAATATGGCACTTCTTGTTAATGATTTTTGAAATCTCTATTAAAGTACTAATGCTTTATCCTACCATAAAAAGCCATCTGAACCAAACATCCAGTTATGTTCTTCTAATTCTAATATTCTCTTGTTCCTCAATGACACCCACTCTTTCATCCAGGTTTGTCAGCTTTTTTTGATTTTGCTGTAACAGGCAAGTATGGGTGACCTTTGAAATTATTACAAGGCTGGAATCTTTACCTGCTCTGGTCAGCTAACTTTTAGGTGAAGCTTATTCTTCACCTTCTCAGCTAAATAGTCATCCATCCTCAGTCTGCAATAGATCTTTTAACCTTCTCCACTTAAATTATATCTGTGTATATCTATATTATACAGTGATGAAATCCAATTTTTTAAACTACCGGTTCTGTGGGCGTGGCTTGGTGGGCGTGGTATGGCTTGATGGGTGTGGCTTGGTGAGCATGGCAGGGGAAGGATACTGCAAAATCCCCATTCCCTCCCCACTCCTGGGGGAAGGATATTGCAAAATCTCCATTCCCACCCCACTCTGGGGCCAACCAGAGGTGGTATTTGCCGGTTCTCCGAACTGCTCAACATTTCCACTACCAGTTCTCCAGAACCTGTCAGAACCTGCTGGATTTCACCCCTGATACTATACCTAATTGTGATGTTGCCAGAAGCATGAAGTGAACAATGTGACATCACAATGCAAGCTCTGGCCTTTCATATTTCTCTCAAAACATCACAGCATTGCAACTACATAAGAAGTGGAGTTTGGATTACAACCTCCTGGTTCACAGTTCAGCAGTTGCCTATGCTTGCTCATTCTTGCTACAGGCACCTATGATTTACATCTCAAACCAACTGGATTGTATATGCCGTAAGTAAAAAATTTTAAGCATAAAATAGAATGGAATATCTATATTTCAAATATAGTTGCTTGGCATTTTCATAAATGATATCCTTCCAACTTCTGGATGCATCATTGGTCTATTCAGTTTGAGATACTCCTCATATACTTACATTAAATGAAGTTTTTCCTTATGGCTAATTTAATGCTTTGGGACTAATCTAAAAGTGTTTATATATAATCTGGTATAATTATGTGCTATGATAGCTATTTCTAGTAGTGATTGTGAGCAGGCCTCCCCTCTTATATACACCTCTTCTGGCATAAAGCTTAGCAGACCCTCCAAGCTATAATATTTACATAATTTTAATATTTATCCCTCCATTTTTCAAAAATCATATGAAATCCCCCTCTATATCTCCTCATAAAAACTTTGGTTGAGATAAAGTGATTATGAAGATCATTCAATGAGCTTCATAGCTGACTGAGAATTTGAAGCTATTTCCCATTGTTTTAAATTCAGTAATGTAATGTATGTGTATCCATTTTGAATTCTAACCTAATCCCATAATAGCCTCCAGCAGTTAATAACGCAAGTAATAAACATAACAATTAAGGGGCATAAAAGTTTATAAATAGCAGCAACAATATTACCAGTCAAATTAAGAGTACTTAATTGCCTCTAAGTGAACAATTCTGTCTTCAGTAACTTCTGGAATATTTTTAGGTTGAGCAATTTATGTAGGGAGTTTATATTCCACAGATCATGGGCCATAATCTCAAATACTACTTCCTACTAACTTCCTCCATTACTTTATGAAGATCTTACCAGTTGATTGATTCTACTTGGAAGAGGTGGCTCTGAAGATATCTGGAACCAAGCCCAGCAGGGTTGATAGGTTAAAACTATTATTTGGGAATGTACCCAGAAATCAATTGGAAGCTTCCAGAACAGGTGTTATTGCCCATGGCACTCACACATGCTAGAACAGAGCAGAGCAGAGCAGAGCAGAGCAGAGCAGAGCAGAACAACTGGTTGGAAGGGATCTTGGAGATCTTCTAATACAGGGATCCTCAAACTACTGCCTGTGGGCTGGATACAGCCCGCCAAAGCAATTAATCCGTCCCACCTGGCACCACGAGGCTGCCCCATCCATATCTCCCTGCCCACCTGCCGGCCCCCACCCTTCGGCCAAGCGTGGGCTTCACTTTTGCGGGCAGCTGTGGTGAGCAGAGCAGTGTGAGCCCCGCGGGCAGAAACTGGAAGGTAAGGCCAATGGCGGGGGAAGGAAATCCACTCTGGGCCTGCTGTGCTAGGCTGAAGGGCCATCTCGGGGGGTGGATGGGGTTGGACATAGCGAGGCTCAGCCACTTTTCACAGCTCTGGACTGGGCAGCAGTTCAGCTTTCCTGGCAGGCTGTGACCCCTGATCCCTGCCTACTCTTCCCTTTCTCCTGTGGCTGATGACAGAGAGGAAGGTGAATCGCTGCCACTCGCCCCCTACAGCCCACATCTCGCCCCCTGCCTGGACTTTCTGAAGCTGCTGGGCCTCAGCTGCCGCGGCTGCCAGCACCCAAGGAGCATAAGACTGTGCTGCCCGCCTCCCTCATCTGCCAGCTGGCTTCTTCCATTGGCCCGCAACTTTCAGCTGAGCATGGGCCTTACTTCTGCGGTTAGCCGCGGTGAGCAGAGCGGTGCAAGCCCCGCTGGCTGGAACTGGAAGGTAAGGCCAAGAGTGAGGGAGAGGAAATCCACTGTTGGCCTTAGTCCAATCCCCTACTCAGAAAATTATGATTGGAGACTGGATAATAATTGTCCGATATGATTGGATTCTGGGAGGACCTCTTCAGGACAGGCAACACCTGCACCCATCACCTCATAGACCCAGCCAACATTCCAGCTCCCAAAGGAAGGAAATGGATCCAAGCTAAAGATAGCCGAGTTTATGCTGAAGAACAATCTAACCATTTGACTGGACTTTATATGATATTACAAGTTGCTATGCATGGACATGACTCTACAAGAAGCTCTCTCAATCACCTCTCCAGATTCTGCCAATTAAGAAGATTTCAGTGAACGTAAGCAATATTATCAGCAAAATGAAGACCCAGATTGCTGGGGGCACTGTGAAGTGGTATATACAGTAAGTCTAAGGGCTATTGCTAAAATGACGAGCAAGGAGGCAGGCTGCAGGGAGATTGCAGCTCAAAATGCACTAAGAGCAGTATTGATGCTTCTCCACTCTTATTGCCATGATGTAGGTTTAAATACAAGCTCTTATTTGATTCAAATTCAATGTTCTACCTCTACCCAGAGTACTTTAGGCATCCCTTCTGTTGCTTCTGCTGCTTCATCTTTTAGAGGTCTCCGATCAACCAAGGTGGTCTCTGGAATCAGCTGATAGAATTGCTGCTCAGAAGCAACCATATCAAACTCCTGGTCACTTCCTGATTTCAAAAATTCACCAGGTGTCCTACCTTCCCTTTTATAAATTGCTTTTTTCCCCTTATATTTGGGGATTAATATAACAGCATGACCAAGATTAATATTTGAAGATGAGCCAGGATGAATAGCAGTTACGTGCATACGTATATTTTCATTCTGATGAAAGCTGGCCATTAGAATTAATTCTTACTCTAGGAATACAGTTACTCTGGTGTAATGGTCAATGTGATTTACAAACATCCCATGAGTACCATTCTTAACATTCAATGAAATCTTATCTTTTATATCGCTGGTATTTCTGTCTTGAGTGCAGAGAGTGGGAATCACATGTTATAAAGTCCCCTTCAGAAGTTTAAAGATAGCATTTTAAGTTCAGTAATCATTTTGCAACAGCTATTTATAAACCTTATTAGAATGGGGAAGAAAACAGCTGAAATGCAGTTCCTCCACTGAAGTTTCCTGTGGGGAAAAGAGGCAGCGCTAGAGCTTTCTAAAACATTGTGAAATTACTTTGACATATACTGATAAGCCTTTTTTTTTCTTTTTTTCAGATCTGTGGGTCATCGCCTGTTATCTGAGTTTATCACCATAAGAGCTGGTCCTTATCTTAGCCTCGGGGTTGATTTCAGATCCTTGGATGGGAAAGCAAAGAATCGGCGTCTCTTGAACTGGAAATAAACACTTTTGATCTGATAACAGCAGGTCTGTTGCTAGGCAGGCAGGAAAAGGAAGTCTCCTCCTTGCAGGAAATGGGTCTTGGAATACCTTTCTCTAATCATGCCAGCCATCTTTTTCCCTTTTTTGGAAATCTCAGCTGCCCACCCATCCATGGCAGAGCAGGCGGCCCCAGATTACTTCTGAACCGATCTTTTATCGATGCTTCCCTTGAAATGGTAATGTATTTTTCAGCAGGAGCTCATGACATTTCTCATTTTTCTTCAGAGAATGAAGTCTCTGGGCAGGAGTTCTTTTTCATCAGCCGAATTCTCAACACTCCAAAAGCTACATGACAGAGTTGGCACCGGGTTGTTTTATTTCCTGATACAGTGGCTTATCAGCACCCTCCTCCCCAAACAGTACTTACAATGTGAAATGCTCCCTCCATCTGAAATTTCAGCAACAGGAAAGCTTGATCTGCTGAATTGCCACCTGCCAAGAGAGAGAGAGAAGTGGAGCCTGACAGTAAGACTAAAAAGAAAATTCAAGTCTAGATATCACATGGACTCTCTTTGGGCTATGAGGTGAAGCCTAAATTAGAAAGATTAATGCACTGTAACCTGCTAAATTACTGGTGCAATAAATATATATAATTACTAATTTTCTGTCTCTCTCTTATGTGTAGTCTCTCTCTCTCTTTATTTATTTATTTGTCGAGTACGTATTAGATAATATATATAAGTATAAGCATGAATTGAATACATAAAATGAATACAATTAAAGGGAACATTAGGACAGGCATGGTAGGAATGCTGGTGCTCTTATGCGTGTCTTTCATATGTGTGTGTGTGTGTGTGTGTAGCAGTTAGATAGTGAAGTGGTTAGAACATCACCTTCAGTGCAGGAGATCAGGGTTCAAATCTCAGCTGGTACGTATCTTACCAGTAGGGTCCTTGGGTAAAGACCCCCTAATGCTTCATCTGTTTACCTCAAATATGATATGAGAGTCATGCTGGCTCAGATGTCGCCTGGATTGACAAATCCATCAAATGTTGAAGAACCAGGACAATCTGATGATAAATAGGTCACTTGGAACAAACCATACACGGAGGAAACGAGACTCTGGAACTGATGACTTTAGTAGCAGACCTAATGAGAGGGCAGTGATGAAATTCAGCCGGTTCTATCCAGCTTGGGCGAACTGGTAGCGCCGGCGGCAGGAAGCTCCGCCACCCACCCAGAGATCACCACGTCCTGTTTTTGACCATCTGCGCATGCGCAGAAGGCCCTGCGCATGTGTGGAGGAGGCGCATGCGAGCGCGCTCACATTTGCAAACTGGTAGCGAAGGTAAGTAAATTTCACCCAGTGAGAGGGGATACAGTATATGAAGTGTATGAGGGAACTATGGATAGACCAAAGATCTGCATCAATGCTAACTGAAAAACAGCTAATTACCCAATGCTTCAACATAGTGAAGAGAAAGCTGCTATCACAACTTGAGATAGACAAAATTATACATTACAACCCAAGAACACTTTGAAGAACAACTGGATGTGCAATCAACTCCTAAAGCTGGAACATCACCACCATTATTTCCATTACGGAGCACATCTGCTATGAGTCATAAGATCAGAGATAAACTAGCTACGATCAACCCTCAACACCAGTTACCAAGGCTCAGCAGAGATGTACCGTCAGATAGAATGCTAGAAGGTGCCAATAGAGCCTTCACAACAATCCCTAGTACCACAATAACTCAAACCAATGAACTGATATATGTTACAGCCACTGTAATCCTAGAGAGGCCTGGCTACACAATCAACAAGAACAGCAGTACATATCCCTGCTGGAAAATGCGGTTAGAGGCTAAGACTAGGAGCCTTGGTAGTACAGTGGTCTAAAGCACCCTGTTATTAAGACCAGCTTCCTGCAATTACTGCAGATTCGAATCTCGCCAGGCTCAAGGTTGACTCAGCCTTCCATCCTTTCTAAGGTAGGTAAATTGAGGACCCAGTTGTGGGGGCAATAAGCTGACTTTGTATAAATATACAAAAGAATGAAGGCTATTGCTTAGCACATTGTAAGCCGCCCTGAGTCTCCGGAGAAGGGCGGCATATAAATCAAATTAAAAAAAAAAAAAAGATTAAGTCAACTTGGAGAAAGGTTGGTCAGCTGTAGGGGTGAAATCCAGCAGGTTCTGACAGATTTTGGAGAACCGGTAGCGGAAATTTTGAGTAGTTCGGAGAACCAGCAAATGCCACCTCTGGCTGGCCCCAGAGTGGGGTGGGAATGGAGATTTTGCAGTATCCTTCCCCTGGAGTGAGTGGGAATGGAGATTTTGCAGTATCCTTCCCCTGCCGCGCTCACCAAGCCACACCCACCAAGCCACACCACACTCACCTACCACAGAATCGGTAGTAAAATATTTTGGATTTCACCACTGGTCAGCTGGTTGGAAGTACAGAACTCTAAGGTCACAATGTGTGAAATGTTCTATTCACTCTTCCATTCTACTTATAATTGTGACAGCACTTAATACAATTACATTCAAGACTTTCTCATTTAGCAGCCAAATGAAGCATCCGCATCAACTCCTACACATGGATTTTTGAGACAAACAAATGTCAGTTCAATGTTGTGAAATATTATCAGAAATTTGACACAGGACAGGAAGGGAGGATTTTTCTGAAACATTCTCACGCAATATTAATTAGATTTTGTAAACATGGTTTATCCAATGTTAGGCTTGTAATCTGTCATGATCTGAATCTTTCCCACCTCACATTGTTTGGGATAGGATTGTGGAATTTTGGCATATAGCAAATCAGCCAGGGTGAAGAATTTTAGGCAAAAGAAAAAATACACAGAAAACAGATCTTGCTTTTGTTTCAGCATAGGAGATTACGAGCGACATCATGCTTTTAATGGATATATTCATGGAAAATGAAACATCCCAGAAATTGTGACTTGGTCCAAAGAACTGAGCTTCTAAGTTGTTTAAAAAAGAGTTTGTGGTTTGCTTAGAGTTTATCCACACCATTTCTTGCACATAGGTACAAAGATGTATTCTGAGGATATGTTTTCCCAGTGGTTTCTCTATTCATAGGCAGCCCACTGTTGAGGCAGACTGAAGCTGGTCTTATCTGGTCTAAGACTTTCCTGAATTTTTTTTCCTGGAAAAAGTCCATCCCATGCAGATATTCCAGGTTGCATGAACCAAGAATCTTTGGAGCTTGGCGACATGCTGGGCTGCAGTTGACCACAGCAATATCATGCCATCTCCTCTAATCACTGGATTCTGGTTTCCCAAGTGTAATGGTACATGATGTGGGAATGACCTTGAGAGATTGGGGGGGGGGGGTGGAGAAATGGCACCTAAGGAACAATCAAATAAGAGGGGGTGTAGCCTGCAGGTGTATAATGGAAAGTGAAAGAAACTCAGAAAGGAACTTCCACTATCGTATCAGTCTTTAAAAGAGACAACGGGAGATTTGTACTTTCAGGCTTCCAAGATTCTGTCAATGTAATGTTGCAATAATGTGGAATTAGCTCATCTGGTTGTGTTTCCTGTGTGGATTAGTTGGGAAGGCTGACGCCATAGGCATTTGTGTTTTGGCTGTCAGAAAAAGCACAATTTCATTCAGCCACCCCCTTCCTCCTTATTTCTGTGGCATTGTCAGGAAAATACTGACTTCATGGAAAATTGAATGCAGATTTTCCATGAAACTAATAATCCTAATAATAAGCATGCACACTCACATTTCCAGTAATGGGCGAACTGGTTGCTACAGTATGTGAAGCCCAACTCTGACATGGACTTCTATTATCAAGAGGGTAAGAGGAGATGAGACGAGATGAAAGGAGACAAGACGAGACGAGGAAAAGAGAATGAAGAAGGTGCAAAGAATAGGAGAAAATTCTACTCCATCTTTTCTCCTTCTCCACTCAGACATATATGAAAAAAGCCCCATGCATTCTTGCACCTAACCTTCTTTTCATTTTAAGAATGAAAAGCTGGTGGAAGGGAAAGCTGGTCTCCAGACATGGAACTCTTTTTCCCAAGTCCAGGCTTGGGAAGAAGACACCAACTGCATTCATGAAAGCAAACCACACTATTTTCTGTGACAGCACAAAAAATGTGCTGACCTTATTCCAGAGAGAAAGTAAAAGTTAGGCTGTGTGATGACCAGAGTTGTCAAAACTATATATTTTCCTTCTATTTTTAAGGGTGGGTAAAATATCAAGATCTGTAGATGAGCTCTTTAATAACTGAATGCAGTTCTGGGCCCTGGGCTGAGAATATGGTAGCAAGCATAGTACTTGTATTAAATTGGCCTTTTGTAGATGTGTTGGATTTCAGTTCCATGATTGACAGTCAGTATGGTCAAAAGCCATCCAAACCAAATGATAAGACCAAGATATCTGGAAGGGACCAAACTGTATTTGATAATGCACTGCCAATTTCTTCTTATAATCTTCATCTAAGAATTGTGGATTTTCTTGTAAGCATCAAACTAATTAGGTTAAGGTTAGAGAAAGCTTTAGGTAAAATACTCCTAAAGTTGGGCACAGCTGGGCAGGAGAAACCTTTACCTTTTTATCCACTTTTGAAATCTGTATATCAATTCTTGAAAATGATCTTTGTCTTTCTGAAAAATAAGTATATTCTTTAGAGGTACCATTCCTTTGTCTTCAAGTATCTACCAAAACCAGAATGTACATCAAATAATAATAAAATATTGAAAAACTGGAAGCGTTGTGGCAAGACTGGCTGGAAAAATAGCGGGCTCCGACGAGCTCCACGAAAATCGAGCCAGACAAACCGCTGTCGGGGGGTCTTCAGACCAGAACCGTCCTGTTGAAGAAGGAGAGGTGTCTCGGACGACCAAGAGGCACAGGAAAGTTCCTTGAAAGGTCAGAGGCAGCTCTTCAGACCGGCGGCGGGAGTGGCGGCCATTGTAAAATGAGTGCTCTGAAGCTGGGGCAACCGGACTAAGTTTTTGTGCAGGAGTGGTGTTTGAATGGAGTGCTGGTACCAGGTGATTGATTGGCCAATGCACAGGTAAAAGAAAATTTCAAATTGGAACATTAAAAGGTGTCCCAGACCTGAAATGAGTGGCATTTGGGAAATTCTATGGAGGGAGAAGAACAAAGAGGGGGCTAAAATACTAAAGCCCAAGGAAGTTTTAATATCTACAATTGGATTTGGAGAAACTAAAAATGACAAAAGAAAAGAACCTGAGGAAAAGTATTTTTTATGTGGATTTTAAACATTTTTGACAGATTTGACATTTAGTTGGTTTGAGAATATTGTGGATTTGAGAGAGACACCTGCTGGCGGAAAGAGAGTACTGCAATATTTGCTGGAAGATAGAAGAGAAAGTGCAGTTATGACCTTGACTACTAAAAGATAATTTGGAAATTGTGAGAACTTTTAAGGAGTATTTGTCTTTCTACATTGCTTGGTTTTGATTCTCAATGGCTGTGGAAGATAACAAATCTTTAACTTAGAGTGGACTGAATAAATATTTGAACTGGGCATTATTTGAAAACAAAAAGAGACTATATGGATTTTAAGTTTTAATTAAAAGTGACAGAACTCAAAAGTTTTAACAATTTCTTAAATTGGCAATATAGAGTCTTGGATGCGTGAGGAATT